ATCTCAAGTGCTTTCTTGGAAGTCAGGGAAGTGATCTCTCCCAACAGAAGGCACCATCATTAAACCTTTAGAGCAGCCTGTCTTAGAGTATGTCATCAAACACGAAGGAGAAAAGTCACAGTGCTCCAGCAACTGGTGAAACTCTGCCACAATATATGCGTCAAACTGCCCTTACTTACTGGAATGGCTGCGAACTTTGAAACTGGGGACTACGAAGGAAGGCTGCAAATCACAGTGGTTCTAACACTCATGTGGAACACACCAGAAACACCTTGTAGAATAGAGCTACCCCTTCATTATCCCATTAGCAATGTCCCAATCTCCCATTTTATTCTGTCCAAGCTTTAGTTCTCTCCACAAATTAACTGACACTGCCAAACAGGACCATATTGCCATGTGGCCTAGCTTGAAAACAATGAGGGAGTCCTGCACACTACTTACTACTTAAAAAATATTTATTTATCTATTAAACAATGTTTCGGTCTATACACCCTTTCATCAGGTACATGCACAGCATGACAACACTTCATTTATGTGTACACACACACACACACACACACACACACACACATATAGGAGCTGCCTCAATCATTAAATCATCCAATCAGTGGAGTATGATTAGTTTGACAGGTGATCACCTTGAACACATCCTCACTCATCCCCTTGAACCATCTGCCTAACCAACTAACACACTATCAGCTCCACCAAACTACTCAAAACAATTTTTCTGTGCTTTTCTGAACCAGCTTTACTGAACATAAGTAGCACAATACTGTACGGAATGTAATTTGTTTGAGAGGCTACATATGTTTGTTGACAATCATGTACCTTTCGGTTTTATCCAGAATATGTTTCTCTAAAACGCATTTTTCCATTTGTTACAAGAGACATTGGTGAGTAAGAAAGTGTAAGTAGGAGAATCTGGAATTTAAACGCTTGTTTCACTAGGATTTAATTTTAAACGGGAGAAGATAAAACTCATCAAAACTGAGGTAGAAAGCATGTACATACTAGGTACTGCTAAAATGTCACTGGCTGAGATAACATTACCAACAAGGCCTTTTGAAAGGTGATTTGAGGCAAATTTTATATGTAAAATGTGTATATGTAATATGTCAAAGTGAAATTTGAAGCAGGTATGAAACAGATACCTCATTTTGATGACAGAGGTGTGTGGAGTGTAATACAAACACGTGTCCTTTCTCATATAATTTCAATTATTGGATTAAGTAGTAGTACATGGTATAATAGTAATAGAGCTGCAACAATTAGTCAATTATTCGATTAGCTGTCAACTATTAAATTAATTACAAACTATTTTGATAGTTTATTAATTGTTTTGAGTCATTTTTTAAGAAAAAAATCCAAATTGTCTGATTTCACCTTCTCAAATATGAATATTTTCTGGGGGGTTTTGTCCTCTGTGACAGTAAACTGATTTTTTTTTTTTTTTTTCGATTGTGGACAAAACAAGAGCTTTGGGAAACAGTGATCAACATTTTTTACCTTTTTCTGACATTTTGTGGACCAAATAATTAATCGATTAATTAAGAGAATGATTGACAGATTAATCGATAATAAAAATAATGGTTAATTGCAGCCTTAAATAGTAATAGTAGTATGCATCTGCTTTAATTTCACACTCTCATTTTTCAAATGACTGCCAAACAGTCTAAGTACAGAGTCACCTTATATCATATAGAAGTGTAATGATTCAAGATGGACAAATGTATCTAAAAAAAATAAAAAACATTGGTGCTATCCTCAAAAATATACTTTCTTAGCCGGGTCTGCAATGCTCTGGTAACCTTGCTGAATCTAAATCTATGTAATGCATCATTCAGGTTATATGGAGGTTGTGGTCTATGACTCAGCTCTATGACCATGGGCAATTCCTAGGAAGTTACATCCAAGGGCTATAATCCAAGCAAACAGATAATGAAAAAGAAGAGATACATACACCATTTGTATACTGGTGGCGAGGCCACAACACATCAGTAAAATCCTATGGCATCACTCTGCAACCTCTTTCTTACCAATCAAACCATAGTCTTTTTCCATCAACGTACACCTTTGAGCTAGTTTTTGTTTCAAAAATGGGTGTTGGCCAGGCTGTTAGGAGCCACAGTCAGTGTCCAGCATTGAGCCAAATTAAAACCCTCTATGTGGAATCTTGAGAGCTTAAGGTCGTCAGCAGTTGTGTCACGACAGAAGTAGCTGACTGATGTTGGAAATATCAAGACATGATGGACTGCAGCTCCCTGGCCTGAGGGTAAAGCACAGCTACTCTCTGCCTGGGACACTCACTCTTTAAAACTTGCTGTACCCACTCCAGTGCATTCACAGGCTGCTAGAAAATAGTGGGCTATAAGAAACGAATATCTAACAAAAAAGAGAGAATTGTTTGTTGTAATCTTCATGTCAAAGTAGCCAATAAAGAAGATTTAATCTACAACCAGAAATCCAAACAATTCCTCATTAATTTCCTCATGTTTACTTAGAATTCCCAGCCACGTAAAGTGATACGATGTCCATTTGTCTACAGAGAAATGTACGGTGTATGTGGGTCTTTTGCTCAATTTTATGCTCATAATTAATGCATAGTTTAATAATTCATTGTGGACAACATGTGTGTTTTGAATTACCGCAGTGTATTTAAAATTGTTATGTGTGATTTCATAGCAAGGTGAAGTGTTTTTTTTTTGCCAAATATGTACAGTATCAACAAAAATGTGCCAAACAATTTCAGCAGTTCTTGGTCACATTTTCTTCTTTTGTCTGCTTCGACTTGTAGAACTGATGAGTGACAACACTGTTGCTGGTGAGGAAGACAATAATGATGAGTTCAAACCGGAGAAACTATTTAAAGTCGTTTAGATTAGTTAACATTGTTGCCAACTGTCATAAAAGGCACTACTTGAAATATGCCAGACAGAAACCCAAAGAGTTGTCATTTGGCAGCACCAACTACCTGCTAGCTACATCAGTGGGGCTGAGTAAGGTGTGAATATGTTATAGAAACACTGACTTTGAAACTGTGTTTGTTTGCACTGGAGTAATATTTAATATTTAAAAAAGACTGGTCTTTGCAAGCTGATAATCCCCCAACAGAAATCGGCTGAAAATTACAACTCTTAAATGTGAAATGTTGAGCATTATAAAGTTGATTCAACTGTGAGAAACAAAGTGAATGAGACGTTTTTTTTGCTGCCCTGCTTTCGTTTTACTTCCACTGAATCTATGAAACAACTCTGGAATGGCAGCACTCCAAAACACAGAACGAAGACGTAACTTCAACTGTAACATTTTTTTTACAATGGCTAACATCAGGCTCACGGATTCTGGCACATAAGCCTTCATCAGAGCATCTGTTTTTGGCAGAGAACCCAACCAGAGGAAGGTTACATGAGGAGGTGCACCTGCTATACGTTTTTCACTGCTTGCTCTTATTGTCATCAAGTGTGGTGTAGTCACAGGACTGACAAGCTGCTGCCTGCAGCCTACTTAAAAATCATACTGGTGAATATTATATACTTAACAGACATAAATTAGATTGTATCTGTTAAATATAATAATCAGCCAAATTATGTCAACAAAATGTAAATCTGTGTACTTAAATTAAATATAAACACTCAATATTCTAAACATACAATGTTATTTAGCATTACAGAAAAAAAAAGCTAACTAACTGCCACAGTGAATTAGGATATGTGAAGTTCTTGAGGCAATGAACATCATCATGTATCATGTAATCATTACATGACTTTGTTTAATGTAGTCTAGCTCTTTTACACATAACCATGGCGACATAGCATATTCAGATATTCTGTAGGTGAGTCATGCCACATTGTCTCTACCTCATTGATTAAGGTTTTTTATTTTATTTTTACTATTTAACTACTACTAACTACTATTTAAATCAAGACTAATAGAAACATTTTCATATTTTTAAATATGGTAAGATGGTTTGCCATGCAACACTGGAGCTGGAGCACATTTAAGTAACGACAGACATACTATTGTGTTACTTGTTCTCATTAAATTAACATCACACTCCGTTAACATGCCCTGGAAGTAAAAAAAGCCTATTTTGTTCTTTGTTTTTCCACACAGCGACTGTAGTATGCGGCCATAAGCTCTTCTGAATACAGAGTTTTGGAAAACATGTGTACAGCCGGAAAAAATAAAGCTGGTGCTTTGGTGAAAAGGTCCACTTATTTATTACATTGAATTAAAGCCATCACTACAGCTGTCAGTCAGTGGTGAGTTATGACGTCATCAGTGAGTGGCCTTGCGCACACCCGGCCCCAGATGGTAAACACACAACGATGAAACAGGAAACCTCCTCTTTCAATCCATCTTGTATATTGTATAAACAGGTGCTGTATTTCATTTGAAAAAACATTTTTTCTCCAAACCTTTAATTTTACATTAAAGTAGCCCAGTCACCAGTGATAGGCTAGCATGCTGTTCAAAGACTATTTTTATGCGGCTGTGGTTAAATAGTGTCAGTTAAACAATCAACCCAAATGACATACACTAATGACTCGTCCCCCACGCCTTCTATTTTCAGCAATTATCAAAATAACCATTATTCTAAAGAGCGGATATAAAAGATGCACAATTTCCAATAAAAGTTAATGAGGCAGGAGGGTTTTCCCTGATCTGAAAATCAAATGCTGAGGAACGCTGCTAATACAAGGAGGCCATAAAACGACTCTAATCACAAAAGTATCAAAAATCAATACATTCACCATCCCTGATTTTAAAAAACATATTGTTTGACTGCTGTTCTCAATGTGTGCCCTACTTCTCAAGGAGCAGCCATTTTCGATATGTGAATAGATGCATAGTAATGACATGGTAGCAGTCACTTCAAAGTTATTCCCTATATTTTGCCACGGGCCAACAGATTTCAGAGGAATGGCTCGTAAATATCATCGTGTGCACACCTTGACACCACCCAAGATCCCCAAAACAGAGGTAGCCACAACACGTACCTCCAAAATCAGGCCTTAAACGGATGTCATATCCCTTCAGCAACTTGTCCACGGTAGTCTTGGCCACAGACATTCCGGTGCTTCCAGTGGAGGAGCTGAGGGCAGAAACCACAAGTGTTAGAGCCATTTTAAGCAGTGGGTCGGCGGGGGGAATCAGCAAAAATACATACATGTCATACACTTTTATTTTTACTGTACGTTGAATATTGTGCACATACTCTGCGTTCTCAACATTAATGACATGGATGCTACCTTTGAATAGGAAGCCTGTGGAGGCTTTGACAGAGAGAAGGAGGACTCAGGATGCATAAAACACCCAACCCATGAATTCATCCATGTATCCCCATTTCTTGTTCTTACTTTTCTTCTAAAATAAGCATTCATTTGTCATATTTCATTCTCAACCTTTGTCAGCTTCAGTTTTAATCTTGCATTCTTGTCTGTCACCACCTAACAGTAAGAATAAAATTAAAATCAAAACTAAACATTCACGCTACAAAGAATTACAGCTAATTATATGTAATTGTGTCAGGTGTCAGTAGTGACTACTGACATCCTACATGATACTAAAAGCATATTGACTCTTATGTTGTCATGGTGAAGGTTTAAAACTGTTCCTTGTGTATGCATTTTGCCCCTGGTAGCCCCACCTAAAGTACATTCAACTAATCAGTTGAGGGCATGTGGTGATGATATACCTGTCAGGCATTTTATTGACGTTTCTTTTGCTTTTCTAGAAGCCCAGTCTTATTCCTGGGCATGTATTTAAATAAGCTCCGTGTTAAAACACAGCCTCCCAGCATGCTGCGAGAGGCAGACTATCCCCAGGAGGGACCGTATAGTCCGCACTAGTCTGACTGACACCTATAGCATTGGTGCCATGACCTGCATCACCTGAACGAGGCCAGCGCTCCAGCTGAGGTTCCTTGTTACGGGGAGGGTGTGGAATGAGTGCAGAGCGGGGAATAGGAGGGGAGGAAGTGGGTTAAAATTGCTCCCCTGATAGGAGCACTAGCCCTTTGGCTCAGTCGGGGGAAGCACTGTTCAATTAGCTCATAGGTGTTGCAGCTGTTCATCAAGCTGACCGGGTACAGGACTTGTGGGTCTGACACCTGAGAGCCTCACTATGAGGGAATATCAGTGACACCTCAAACCCATACAAGATTGTTTCACTTGTTATTCAGGGTTATTCTAATGGGATCAAAGTGTCACAAAAAAAAGTGCGACCCAGTTCTTAGTGAGCAGCACCTAAATCTCATAAGTGAGGCTGTAGGTTACTGCAGACAAGGAAAAGGTGTAGGCCAGGGGGGGATGTGTATCAGTGCCACTAACGGCAGAACAATAAAGGAATTGATCAGAAGAGTGTGATGATGTCCATGAAGGCTTGTGCAGTAATTCATACTGTAAACATTACCAGGACTAGACAAGAGTATTGAAACGTTCAATCTTATTCCTTCCTGTTCCTGAGAGCATCAGCAGCAGATGACGACCTGCTGGGATTATTTCTGGATCTTGATTGATTTGGTCCCGGTCAATAAAATGGGCAATTAAGATGATTATATGAATAGGAATATTACTTCTGCGCTTATAGGATAGAATAAGTAGGCTTGCAGGCCGAGTGGCAACAGCACTGTAGACCCATACATCTGGCTGATCACCATGGCGTAATCAATCGATCGTCGGCTGATTGATCCGATCTTCTAATCATCGGCTGAGCCTGCTGTAGCCTACCGAGGGCTGCCATTGTTAGGTGGGATCACGCTGAAAGTCGGTCCATACAATGTATATCCCCGTTTTCATATCGGGAGTAGCTTTCACAATAGGCTTGATACAGTGCACGCGCATGTTTTTACGCTCGCGCGCCACAGCGCCGTCTATTAGACCATATATCGGCAGCAATGCCCCTAATAAATAGGCCTGGGTACCCCGGTAATGCCGTTTGCCACATCTCAGTTTTTTTATTGACCGATAATCACATCTATTGGTGTGAAAGTTTTTTTTTATTTTTTTTATTTTATTTTCAAGCGACGTTGTCTTACCTTTGAACAAAGCAGAAGAATGACAAAGCCGCCAGAGCAGAGAAAATTCCACATAATTTATCTTCTTGACGACCCAACATCTCCACAAATCCTTATATATAGTTTCTATAATCCAACCAGTCCAGTGGTCCTCCAGAAAATGCACAAAGTAAAAACTGGCAATTAAAAAAATAATTGCCTTTTAAAAATGTCGAATAAACTAGCCTACATCTACGCATGCGATGTCTTGATTAAAATAGGCTTCTCGATTTTTTTTTTTTAAATCTCGTAATTGGCCCCCGCTGTTTTCCCCGGCTATGGAAATCCGTGCAGGTCACAGAGCCCCTCGACCAACACCAGAAGATCAGACATCTTGCTCAAAAAACAGCATACACAATACTTTTAAAAGTGATGACAAGTATTCTTCCCCTTAAAAAAACAAACACTGGCATGAATGACTGAGCAGCAGCCTCTTGATGATCAAATTGGTGGATGAAATTTCCCAGTCCAAATCTGCAGAAGAGGCATGGTTCCAGCGATGCTCCGGCGCCAGACTATTCCACGACGTGATGTTGTTAAAAGATATTTGTTTGAGCTGGGAACGCTGGTCGGCTGGAGGGGAGCGGTGGGTTTAAAAAAAAGAAAAATGAAATCTTCATTCCCCTTTTTTTCCCCCGTTGCTGCTGCTGATGATGATGTAGATCAGCGCAAAGTCACTGAGGGGAAAATGCACATTGAAAAAGCACTGGGTAATATCTGATGCAGACGTCAGAGCAGGCTATATCACTCCTCTGGTGAAAAAATTAGATGCCGAGAAATATGGATGGCCCCTAATACGCCAATGCATGTATCACAACGCCGGGTTTCATATCAAAGATGCAAAAGCTATTTGAAAAGTCCACTTGCCTCCGCTGTCCAACGTTAAATGGCGTTTGAACACGTTAATGTGGTCCGCTCCTCTCCTCCAAACGCTCAACAAATGACAGAGAATCAACAGTCCAGAGACACATGATTATAGGAAATCTTCTCTTTTTTCCTTTCGATTTTTTTTTTTTTTTTAGTTCTTAGTTAAATTAAAATAATGCCCTATTGGTAGGGGGGGGAGAAGGAGAAAAAGGGGGAAGGGGGGGGACACCTAAGGTGAATTCCTTAGCGACAGCCCGTTCATGCGCTGAATTGTCTGTCTATTCTCTCTGAAACCCATTAGGATGCTGTGAGTGTGTGCCGGTGCGTTTCCATGCAATTCTTCCACTTTTTGGAAACTCACACACACACACGCTGGCAGACACGCGCAGACACGCACCCACACACAGTCATATATACAGGCACATGTGCGCGCACACACAACGTGAACACGCACAATCCTATTTATTTATTTGTTTTTATTCACTTTCTTGTCAGGAATTAGGAGTCGCTCTTTTGTGTGTTTGAAACATAAACATCCTTACTGGAAATCGCCAACGCGCACATCACAATTCAAGAATCACACAAGCTTGTGTTTTATACAGAGGAGGAGGTTTTCTTCAGGGATCTCTGTGCTGTCCAGTTGCTAAGCAACCCAGCCAGCACTGATGCAGTTGTGGTGATTCGAAGGCTATGCGCAAAGGCTCATTTAAAGGAGTAGACCCAATGCTGTCACCACTGTGGTGTCAGTGGGACAAAAGCAGACATCAATTGATGTACCATGGAGCCATTTCTGTTACAACGCCATTTACAATAATACATGTAACAGCAATGTGGCGCGTCACTTTTGCTTCATCATCATCATACTCATCACCATCATTGCCGGGGTCACAAGCACTAAATAACAGAGTCAATCTGTCTATAGCCTCAGATTTTATTCCCATTTTTAAACATGTTAGCAGGCATGTGTTGCTGTTGAGTATCCTCTGCTGTCCTCAGTACCCAGAAACATTCAGTTTGTCCCTCCCATAGCTGATGTGACAGCAGTCAACAGAAACAACATGAATTGGCATGGTGGCATTGGTAAGGAAAAATTACAATTCTAATTTTCCGGTGATGTTTTCTGGTTTGGACAACAATGTCCCTCTGACTTGATTGTCAACATAAAACAAAAAAAAGTAGATTAATTATACATTTGTATTTGAGCTTTTCTGCACTGCAGCTTTGAGAGAGACATGGCCTATTAACTGGACTGTCTTCAACCCCCCTAATCATGAGACTGACATAAAGTGGAAATTTCAAATAGAATGGCATTGCAATTACATACTGTACACCACAGGGCGACATGACTGACCAGGACCCGGCACCCAAGGGTGAGCAATTAATGTTACGCAATATGCAAGACACAGACTGGCTTTCACAGTTCATACTTGTTGCATCACAGGAGTGAACAGTTATTACCTACAAGCTTTCATAGTCCGATGGCTGTAAATCTGTTGCAAAGTGTTAGAAGCCGTAAATTCAGTGTGTGAAAGTTGAGTTGTGACAGTAGAAATAGCTGTTTGACAAACACTTGCTAATAGAAAAAGACCATGAGATGCAGTTGAAAGCTTGGGGAAAAGCTAGTTACATTTTTAGTCAAACTAAATCAGTTCAGTTCTTTAAAAAAGCACCTCAGCCTAAAAAGGATGGGGATTCTCTGCAGCAAAAGGTTAAAGGGGGCTTCAGAGAGAGTACAGTATCCCTGTAGGAAGTTTATTTCTCTCCAGCCACCAAGGAAAACATTTTGAGTGATCACATTTTGGAGTTTGTGATCATGAATGAACTAATAATAAAAAAATCTGAGCTATTTCTAATTCACAAATTGTGAAAGTTTCTTTCCAACACAAAAAATATACCTTGCATATTCAAACTGATTTCCATCTGTTTACTTGTTTTTGACACATAAGGGAATGCACAGAAATGATTTGGGAGGTATTTTCTCTTTATGCCAGAGGAGTGTGGCCGGAAATTTCTGGGAGAGCAAGGGAGGATCTTTCTACAATTTAAACTTGATTTAATTGTTGTCTTGCATGATTTAATTTGGAATCAACTGATCAGAATAGGTGACGTCAAAAAGTCTTTTGTGGGCACTATGGATCATAATGGTGCATTCTGCCTAGCCGCAAACACACTGAAACCATATGGCTATTGTTTTAAATGGCCCAAAAGTGATGCATCTCTAACACTATTGGTGCGTGCTGGGCCATTTAAAACAGCAGGCGTACTTCAAAATAAGCTTTCAGTGCGTTTGCCTTAATGCAGAAGACAACAATCCTCTGAGTATCTGGGATGTATTTCACTAGTTGCTAGACTGACCACAATATACATTTTGAAAACATTGGATCTCTAGCTTTAGCAGGCATCGTGCATCATCTCTCTAAAGAGTGCACCATTTTTTACTAGACTAGAGAGTCATCTTCACTTTATTCTACATTATAACAGAACTATATTAAAGCTGAAAGTATCATGTAGAGTTAACCTATAATATAATGCATGTTCAACACAACCCAACCTGTTTTATTAATGGGTGAAGCAAACATGTTACAGAGCTGAAGCCCCACAGAGCTGCAACCTGTTCCTCATTCACTTATTTGGTGACAGAACAACTAGCACAGTTACTGAATAATGTTCATTTAGCAGCTCTAGAGTGCCTTATTAACAGGACACACCATTTTTCATGTTGACCACAATTTTGGCAATTGCTAATTTCTCTGCTAATGTGTGGTTCGAGTTATGTAAAAATTATTGTTGCGTTAAGCTTAATATTAGGGTTGAGTTGAGAACATAGGCAGGTGGGTGTCCAAAGCAAATATTAATAACCCAAAGGACTGTTGTTGTTTTAAAGAAGCGAAACATAAGGTTTACCCACCTGGCTTTTCGCACAGTCCCTATATGAAGAAAAATATGGTATTAGTTTGTAAACCTAGTTATCCAGTGGGCTTTCACCAACTAGTAACTAGTACCAGATTGGTTTTCAAAATGGAATTCAGTTATTGAAATGCAAATTATTAACCAGACAATTTAAGAATAAACTAGCTTGACGTACTCTCGCTTTTTAATCCGTTTTTTCATGCATAGGCGCCAAGGCAACAGTAATTGTGTGCGGGATAATTGCTGAAGAAGCAGACTTGTCCATATATGTTCTTTGATTGCAGTCCATCTCCCGTAGGTTGGTTAGAGCCAGGGTATAGCAGTGTCAGTACAGTATAGTAATAGAGTGTAATATGGAGCTTGAACCTGTGTGACAGCATGCTAGATGGATCCTTTCAGTCTCTGGGCATGCTCAGTCTGTGCTTCCCTCGATAGCCTGCTTCACTTGCAATAAAGCTCCCATTCATAGCATCCCCTGATTACTGCAATTAACACTAATTGGCATCTATGACAAGGAGATCCAAGCCCCTGAGATGTGCATGTACCATGCTCTTTTTTGCTCCATTCATATGTTGCATAACACATGTGAGTTACTGGGTCACCCTTGCTCCTCTGATATAAATAGTATCACATGGTTAATGCATTGGTGCCTTCCAGTCACTCCCTGTTTCTCTTGCTGTTCATATCTGTCAAACACCCCAATCGACTCTTAAGTATCAAATGAAATATTTTACTGACGTATTTAGAGAGGTTTCAAAACGTTTCAGCCTTTCTTTATTCAACATTACCATCAGTCTGTGACAAAAGTGAATATATGTTTTATAAAAGGCAGTGACTTAATGAGAGTTCACTTAACGTTAATGTGTTGTGGGATTTTGTGAACTCCCTTTGATTAGAGAATGCAATCAAGGCTCTTGTGAAGAAGAAGAAGAAGAAGAAGAAGAAGAAGAAGAAGTTAAGTTTCATTTACGGAAACGCGTTCCGTAACTCTGAGGTGAAATGACAGTTCAAGTTCATGTTTGGTCAGCGTCACTGTGAGAGGGGTCTCCTTGACTGTGTTGAATCATGACGGTACCACCGCTGTCTCATCTTGGTATGGAAAAGAAGACCAGGCAACCACCCTGGAGAGACAGAGATTGCAGTATTGGCCTGATTCATCTGAACTTGATGACCTGTGTCTTTACTGTATTAATGCAAACTGTCCTGGGCCCCCATCATGCTGCTTCCATGGCAAAGCCAAAGCGAAAAGACTGTCCCATTCCTTCATGTTATGTGCTCAAGATTATGGGTAAAAGTCAAACCAAAAAAATAACAAAAGCAAGACAGGATACCAAAGGGGAAGCCAAAACGTATGCAGCCAGGAACATTCTTAGATGCACGGCTGTATTCA